TGGAGTGAGGCAGCAGCTGTATGAGTGAGTAACAGAGAGAGGTGTAGGAACAGAGACAGGATGATATCTTAATTATAAGCTTCTATAATTGTCTCCTGACCAGACTGGAGGTTTCTTTTTCAGTTTGTTTTGGTTATGGCTGAAAACTAAAGAAAAATGAATTTGATAACCATCTTATCTGATGATTGATACTCACAAACAGGATATTGTTAACTTCTATTTAAAAAGAAAAACGCTTTTGAAGTTATTCTAAATTTGAAACGATACACAAACTTTTGTTATTGGTTTGAAGGAATGTCAGTTTAGCAATTAGACAATAGATTGTTACTTCACATCATCATGCTGCTGGCTCTGCTTCTGGTTCTGAGACTTTGCTCTGACGCTCGCTCCTCCGAGTCCACGTCTAAAACTATCCAGTACCGGGTTTGGGAGGAGCAGCCGACGGGAACTCGGGTCGGCCGTCTGGTGGATGACCTCCGGCAGAGAGATGAAGGCGGTCCTCTGGAGGATTTCCAGGTGGTGGAGCACGGAAAAGCCCTTCCCTTCTCCATCAGCACTCGAGACGGGGTCGTCACAACACAAGGCCGGCTGGACAGGGAGGAGCTGTGCAGCGGATCGGATCTGTGCGAGATGGCGTTCAGCGTCCTCTACAGGAAGGGCGGTGCTGTAAACTGCCTGCGAGTTCGCGTGGAGGTGATGGACCTGAATGACCACAGTCCCAGCTTCCCCAGCGCTTTACAGGAAGTGGAGATCTCAGAGACGGCTGGCCTCAGGATGCGGATCCCTTTGGACCGGGCCGTGGATCCTGACGCAGGGCCTAATAGCCTCCAAACATACTCGCTGTCCGTCAATCAACACTTCACTCTGGATGTGACTGGTGGGGCAAAACAGGCGGAGCTGGTGGTGATCAAAGAACTGGACAGGGAGGTTCAGGCCACATTCGACCTGATGCTGGTTGCATGGGATAAAGGGAACCCCCCAAGGTCCGGGAGCACCTTAGTACGTGTTAATATTCAGGATTCAAATGATAACAGCCCTGTGTTTGAGGACAGCACCCCTACTGTGGAGCTATCTGAGGATACAGCCCGTGGGACAATCATCATCAACCTCAAGGCCACGGATCCCGACCAGGGTGCCAATGGGCAAGTGGAATATTCGATAAGCAAACACACAAGTCCGTTGGTTAAGAAGCTCTTCCTTGTTGATCCAGAGACTGGAGCTGTGAGTATCAATGCTCCTTTGGACTACGAGGTCCAGCCCTCTTACGAAGTCATCATACAGGCCCGTGATCGTGGGCCCAATGCAATCCCCACACACTGCAAACTGCACGTGAAGCTGAGAGATGTGAACGACAACGCACCGAGGATACACATGAACTGGGCTCCAGCCAACTCACCTGTGGCGACTGTGCTGGAAGGAGCCAAAGAAGACACCTTCATCGCTCTGGTGATGGTTTCTGATGCAGATGCAAGAGAAAATGGCAAAGTGAGAGCGCACATTCAGCAAGGATCTGGGCCTTTTCGCCTGAAACATATCCAGGGTGACAGTTACATTATTGTTACCAATGGCACCCTGGACCGAGAAAAGGAGACACATTACAACATCACTGTCATCGCCCAGGATTATGGGGATCCCCCACTGTTTTTCGTCAAACATCTGCTTGTCCATGTTCTGGACGAGAACGACAATGCCCCGGTGTTTTCCAACTCCCTCTATAAGGCGTCCTTCAAGGAAAACAACGTGGCGGGCTACCACGCTCTCAAAGTTGAAGCCTACGATGTGGACTTAGAGTTCAGTGGAAGAGTGTCTTACTCCATACGCAACTTAAATGAAGTGGAAATGAGCGCAATACCCTTCTCCATCCACCAGACCAGTGGTGTCATAAGCGTCCAGAAGCCGCTAGACTTTGAGGAATCCCGCAGTTATACTTTAATGGTGGAGGCCATTGACCAGGGTTATCCACCTCTCACCAGCACGGCCTCGGTCCAAATTGACATCCAAGATGTGAACGACAACTACCCAATTATCAAAGAGCCAAAACCCAGAAACGGTGTTGCTTTTCTAAATGTACCAGTCAATACAGACAAGGGGGAGATTGTGACGGAGCTGGGGAATGAAACGGAAGATGGATCCACACCTTTGCCGATTAATCGCTCAGTTGCAGAGGGGTTCGTTGGATTCCTTGCGTCCACCATAAAGGCCGAAGACCCAGACTCGGGGGTGAACGGACAACTCAGCTACCTCATCACGGATGAAAACCCTAATGGACTGTTCTTGTTGGACGAGGCTACAGGCCAGCTGTTTGTTAACACCACTAATGCTACTGAGCTAATTGGGAAAACCTTTAAAGTCAACATTGCTGTTTCTGACATGGGCACTCCTAGCCTGACAACCAAGGCAAGTCTAGAGGTGACTTTCATCAATCTTAAAGACCATCTGAAGAACTCCTCACCTGGTAACAGAAGTCATCTCAGCTTCACTATGATGATGGCGATCTGTTTTGGTGGCACCTGTCTGCTGCTCCTGTTGGCCTTCGCTTTGGTGACGACCTTCTGCCGCCCCGAAAAACGTGACAGCCGGGCATACAACTGCAGACAGGCCGAGTCCACCTACACCCGCCACCCTCGACGCCCCCAGAAGAACATCAGGAAGTCTGACATTCAGCTAATTCCCGTCATCAGAGGCCGAAAAGACGATGATAGTGAATCCCAGCCACTGGCCCCGCCTCCAATGACGTCAGACGAGGAACAAACTGAGAGGCAGTATACCTTAACGCCATCAGTCTTAAATACAAGCTTCCATTCCCAAGGCTTCCCAGAAGGGGAGTCCACCCACCACTGTAAAACGCTCCGGAAACCTGGAAATATCGAACTTGATGGCACTTTGCCATTAACACCCGCCACATCGTACAGGACGCTTCGGAAATCCAGGAACCCTTCTTCATCTTCTTCTTCTGTGTCGCATTCGAGCACCTTGAAGCGTCCAACTCACGTTAAAGAAGAGGAGGCACAGCAGAGTTCATCCAGCCAGGCGACTCTCAGGAGGCCGAGGACTTCAGAGGGAAGAGGACCTGAAGCAGAACATCGACAGATGCTTAGAAACCTGGTTCGTCTGTCCATGGCCGCCTTCGGAGACTCCATCCAGCTTTCCTCAGCTTCCCCAGAAGTGCAGGTGAGAGGCAGAAACTTTCCTACAATCCCAGTACTAACCATTTATTATTGTTGCATGGTCCTTGTAAGTTAATTAAGATCATCTTTGTTTCTTAATGTGGAAGTCAGTGTGCAAAGTTAACTTCATATATTGATCATTATTTTGCGTCAAAAGGCAGAACGAGGCAAGTTGATTTATTACGCACATTCAAACAGTTAGGTAAATCAAAGTGCAAACGGGACACTTTATACAATTACATTTAAAAACATTGCTTGATAAGCCAGGCTATATACAATAAGACAGTTATAAAATACAGGAACACAAGGTAACGTGCAGTTTGTGAAAGTACATTCACCTTTCATTTTCGTTAGACTTCTGCTCTACTACATTTTGGAATACTATGTATTATATTTACTTTACAATTTATTTAGTAATATTTACTTAATAGATTGAGAAAATGACAAACAATACTTTTGGTATGGATTAAACATGATATTGAAGTAACTAAAACCATGAGTGTGTTAACAGGAAAGGAATTGGCAGTCATTTTGATAAGAAGTTATTTGTTACTTTTACTCCTAATACTTTAAATATAATATACAAATGTTTCCGAATCACACGTAAATACTTTTACTTAAGTATCTCTCAATGCAGTACTTTTACTTGAAAATGTGTATGTTTACAGTCCGGCTGGTTATTTGAGTCTCAGGCTTGTTTCAAAAGAAGTGAGAGTTGCAGGCCATTAACACTGAAGTTGAAAATAACTTAAATGCAAGTTTGTCAAACATACCCATTTAAATATCATTAATAATTTAAATAAACTTGCAGCATGATAGCGTCAACATTAAGGCTAATGCGCTACTGCTGCTGGCTCTCATTTAAACGCCATTTAAACGTGTGATCACATTTATTTCAACATGTGCTTACAGTTAATGTTGAAGTAATGAAGTCTCCCCCTGCAGGCTCTGAGATTAATCTGAAGTGAAGTCCATTAGAGAGTAAGAGCCTCCCCCACCTCCCCCACCTCCCCCACCTCCCCCACCTCACGCACAACTTCCATTATCCCAGCAGCCTTTTTCAGCCTCCTGTATGAGACAGCCGGGTGTAGGTGTGTGTGTGTGTGTGTGTGTGTGTGTGTGTGTGTGTGTGTGTGTGTGTGTGTGTGTGTGTGTGTGTGTGTGTGTGTAACTAGCTGATGGATGGCCAAAAAGGCAGTGGGTTTATTCAGGTGCTCATGTGTCACAGACAGTAATCCCCCCCTCAAGAAACTCTGACAGTCCTTTTTACAGAATATCACATATCAGATTCATATTGAAACCAGGAGAGGAGTGGGGGGGGGGGCTCCTCTTAGACTCTGTTGGATGAGGCGAGCCAAAGTAAGCTGTGATGTGTTTGTAGTGTAAGCTAACACCGCTCTGACACGCCGCTCCGTCACTTACAAATGACCCAAACATCACTTTTACTGAGGCTGAGCTGCTGCGAGAGGAAAGAGGAAAACAGCTCGGGTTGAAAACAGAAACTCTGAGGGGAGCAGGATGCACGGACTGTCGGTACAAAGATTTAACCTTTACAAGAGTTTGACCAAATAGCTTCATGAATCAACTGGTGGTTAAATGCGTGGTTAGAGGATTAAAGAGGGACCCAGTGCTTCATATGTAAGGCTCATGTGGAGGCAGACATCTGTCTACATACCTGGGTCACATTAGATAATAAGGTTAACAAGATAAATGTGACTTTCATTTGACTTGTGTTTAGAGGAATGTGGGTTGAATCAGGATCATTGTACTGACGTGCTGAGTGTTGTGTAATACTTAAACTAAAGAATGGAAAGAATAGTGGACTGAAGAATGCAAGAGTTAGTAAGTCAATAAGTAGGTAAGCAAGGAGACAAGTAGGTAAGCAAGGAGACAAGTAGGTAAGCAAGGAGACAAGTAGGTAAGCAAGGAGACAAGTAGGTAAGCAAGGAGACAAGTAGGTAAGCAAGGAGACAAGTAGGTAAGCAAGGAGACAAGTAGGAGACAAGTAGGTAAGCAGGGAGACAAGTAGGTAAGCAAGGAGACAAGTAGGTAAGCAGGGAGACAAGTAGGTAAGCAGGGAGACAAGTAGGTAAGCAAGGAGACAAGTAGGTAAGCAAGGAGACAAGTAGGTAAGCAGGGAGACAAGTAGGTAAGCAGGGAGACAAGTAGGTAAGCAAGGAGACAAGTAGGTAAGCAGGGAGACAAGTAGGTAAGCAGGGAGACAAGTAGGTAAGCAAGGAGACAAGTAGGTAAGCAGGGAGACAAGTAGGTAAGCAAGTAAGTAAGTAAGTAAGTAAGTAAGAAGGCATTAAGAACATAAGTAAGTCTTAATGGAAGTAAGCAAGGAGACAAGTGAGTAAGAAAGAAAGAAAGTAGGCAAGTTAGTAAGTCAATAAGTAAGGAAATAAGTAGGTCAGCAGTTTTTAAACACACAAATACAAAGAGCTTCACAAACATAAAGAATAATGGACAGAGCAAACTGTTGTCTTCGGGTCAAATCTGACCGATTTACTGCTTTCATCAATCATCACTTTTTAGTTTTACATTCGATTGCATCAAAGCTTCATGATATCCTTCACTGAGACTTTTGAACATATGACATTACTGATCACCACTTTCATTGAGTTTAGGATGATTTAGTCAACTTTGAAACACCATGGTGTTCCCGGTCACACACACACACACACACACCACACACACACACACACACACACACACACACACACACACACACACACACACACACACACACACACACACACACACACACACACACACACACACACACACACACACACACACACACACACACACACACACACACACACACACACACACACACACACACACACACACACACACACACACACACACACACAGAACAATTTGACACATGTCCCGCTCTTATGTGCCCATCCCCCCACATGGATCACACCTGGCACACACAATACATGTTCAGTGTCTATTCTTTGTATAGTTACTGCAGTGTTTCATGTATACCAGTAGTCTGATACAATATGTACAGTTTGAAAGGGTGTTCAATGAAATGTGGTGATGATTAATGGTTTTTGGGTTAATGTCATAGCAGTTAAAACAGGACCGGTCAAATGTGACCGCCATCACCAAAGTAAGGGGGGGGGGGGGGGGAACACGAAGACAACAGGAGGGTAATGACTCAAATGAACAGGGATGGTGGTAATGTTCCTTCAATAATACAAACACAAAATGTCCTTGGCATACTTTTATACATATGTCATCCCAATTAGGCAGTACATATAAATATCTTAAGGGTTCTTGCTTAAGGGGATCTAGCTTCACTTCAATATAAATGTAATTATTGACTTAATTGACTTCTTTATTATTCCTTTATTTTCGGAGCTGACAGAGTTGATTTCCTTAAGAGGAGTAAAGGAGGGTGGGGTTTCTCTGGAGCCAGCTTATTGTAGAACTTTCAGCCATAATCAGTTACAAAAAGGGTACGTATCGCTTTTATTGAGACCATTAGGGATATTTCCAACGTACAAAAAGGTAGAGGACACGTCTTGTTAAAACTCAGACCCGCGTCACAGAGGGCAAAGGTCACCGCTAACGCCCAGCAGGCCGGACAAAGAGCTCGGGCCACATCCCAACGTGAATCCCATCACAGAAAGGAAGGAGCCTTTTTCTTTTTACCCAGCATCCTCCTCTCCTCTGCCTCCCAGTAGTCGGCCCAGTTGGCACTCTAGGCGCCTGGGAGGAGGGGGATTTATTGTTCACCTCCACCTACACACACACACACACACACACACACACACACACACACACACACACCACACCACAACCACACACACACACACACACACACACACACACACACACACACACACACACACACACACACACACACACACACACACACACACACACACACACCACACACACACACACACACACACACCCCACACACACACACACACACACCACACACATTGAGTAACTGGCCAGAGAAGAATAGGCTTTTACGTAGAGGCCATTTCCTCTCGCTGCAGCAGCATGCACGTGAAAAAACACACAAATGTCATGGCTAAAACAAGGTAATATATTAGCGTGCAAGGACACACATACACACACACACACACACACACACACACACACACACACACATGCATGCTTACTTTACCCAGTGTGTGTTAGTGTGTGTGTTTCCTCCCCTGTGTGCAGTGTGTATCCGCTGTATAACAGAGCTGTCAGCAGAAAGCTCTTTGCAGTGAGACGGACGCAGAAGCTTAGTTCTCACACTGTGCAACTAAAGAAAATGTTAGTTCACTTTCTACCTGCACCCACTGTTTAAACCAGCTAAACCAACACAAACACACACTCAGTGTTTCAGAGTGATACAGGCAAAACATCTAGATCTAGGAGAGGATTAGTCCTATGGAGCTACAAAGTGTTAGGTTCATTCAAAACTGTTATAACATCAGTTTAGGATAAGCTTTTGATATTTACCTAAGGTTAACCTGTTCCACTCTGATTGGCCTGTAAAGTGAGCCTTTACTTTGCATGTGTATTTAGTTATCGTAATTTTAGAAATATCCTAATTCTTCTACAGCTGAAAAATAGTATCTTGGCTAACTGTGGCACATTTACAGCAGACATCTTTATTAATGTGCACTAACCCTGTACCTTATAAAGCCTTTTAAAATGTTGTTTTACGACATAAATACGTCAGTAAATACTTTAAAAAAAGGCTGTTGCTAACAAGTGTCTAAATGAGACGACTGAACATCATCATGCCCATCATTAAACACCTTTAGCTTAGCGGTGGTGACGTGAAGTCATGTGACCGTGCTGTAGTTCCTTTATAGCCCAACATTAGCCTCCTTTAGCTTAGCGGTGGTGACGTGAAGTCATGTGACCGTGCTGTAGTTCCTTTATAGCTCAACATTAGCCTCCTTTAGCTTAGCGGTGGTGACGTGAAGTCATGTGACCGTGCTGTAGTTCCTTTATAGCCCAACATTAGCCTCCTTTAGCTTAGCGGTGGAGACGTGAAGTCATGTGACCGTGCTGTAGTTCCTTTATAGCCCAACATTAGCCTCCTTTAGCTTAGCGGTGGTGACGTGAAGTCATGTGACCGTGCTGTAGTTCCTTTATAGCCCAACATTAGCCTCCTTTAGCTTAGCGGTGGAGACGTGAAGTCATGTGACCGTGCTGTAGTTCCTTTATAGCCCAACATTAGCCTCCTTTAGCTTAGCGGTGGTGACGTGAAGTCATGTGACCGTGCTGTAATTCCTTTATAGCCCAACATTAGCCACCTTTAGCTTAGAGGTGGTGACGTGAAGTCATGTGACCGTGCTGTAGTTCCTTTATAGCCCAACATTAGCCACCTTTAGCTTAGCGGTGGTGACGTGAAGTCATGTGACCGTGCTGTAGTTCCTTTATAGCCCAACATTAGCCTCCTTTAGCTTAGCGGTGGTGACGTGAAGTCATGTGACCGTGCTGTAGTTCCTTTATAGCCCAACATTAGCCACCTTTAGCTTAGCGGTGGTGACGTGAACCCAACATTAGCTTCACGTTATCCCTGCACCGCTCTATAAACTATTAAATAATGTATCTTCAGATCAAGTCATGACTCTAACCCTCCTCTTCCTCTCCTCTCCTCCTGCAGCAGATCTCCCAGCTCCTCTCTCTCCTCCGGCAGGGTCAGCTGCAGCCTCGGACCAACTTCAGAGGAAACAAATACTCTCACCGCAACGGCAGGTCAGTCCCCTCACCCTCCTCTTCCTCATGATCATCTTTACTCAATATAAAACCTTCATCCTCCTCCTGTGGTGAGTCCGCCCTCGCTCTGTCTCATGTGGTCTGAGGGTTTCAGAATGAAAACATTAAGAGAGACGCTGGGTTTGAGGTTTCTCACCACACTTCAAGATGTTGTTTCCGAGCAGATTTGACGCCAGGAATTCCCGCTTTCTTCCCATCTTCTCCAGTCAGTTCCCTAACAAGGGTCACTTAACACAACCACAGTCTCTTCCACTTGACTTCACACAGACTGAAACCCTCAGAAAGATCTTGATGTGGATTCTTCCCTCCTCTTTTCCATCTCTTCCTCTGCCAGCTGCAGGTTTCTGTGATCAAACCCCTCTGATAGCAGGACACGCATTAAAGGGGAATGCCACCTAAGACTCACAGATGTGTATTTCCTGAACCAGGACAGGTTGTTTTTGAAGAATCAGGAATGTATATAGGGAGGCAAAGTCCCTTCCCTTCCAGTGTCTGAAATAGTTTTAGGGTAAATATCAAGAAAGATGAAGAAAGAAATTATGACTGACAACAAGTAGGAAAATATCAAATAATCGTTTATCAGTTTTTCATTTATTGTGTATTTGTGACTTGTAATGTTTTTGTATTTGTTACTTGCCTTAAAAGTCACGATACACAGTAATTAAAAAACTGATAAAGGATAATTTGATATTTTCTTACTTATCACTTAGCAATTTAGCTAACTGCAGCATTTTCACATCAAGTATTTTATACTGATGTTCAGTAAGTTGTACTTAAACAAACAAATAAAGACAGACTGAGCATCAAATTCAAAGTATTGCAGATCTGACATTTGATATTGTACAGATATTAATACATCTATGAATTGGTATGTGCCATCTATATTGAGCAGTGCTGATTCCCATTTGAATTGTGCCAATAATTACACATTTGATCATTTAAAATATATTTTTTTAAGTTCCTAAAAGTTTGTTGTTGTCCCATCTAGTTTTGTATCTTGCAATATATGACCAACTCTAGCTAGCAGAGTTACTGAGCTCTGCTCCACATATTAATGTAAAACCATCTGACATGATGTGTTTTACAATTTAAGACAAACTGTATCTCTTTAGTCACAAAATCATCTTAAATCTTATATTGATGAACATCATAAAACATACTCATACCGTAAGCTAATAAGGAAGTAAGCAAGTAAGTAAGTTAGTAAGCAAGTCAGTAAGTCAGTAAGTAAGTAGGCAAGGAAACAAGTAAGTAAGTATACATTTGGAAGTAAGCAAGGAGACAAGTAAGTAAGTTAGCTGAATATATATATAGCTATAAGTAAGCTATATATTTCCTCAATGTGGTCCACTAACGTGAGGGTCTTTGCCTCTTAATAACAAACCAGTCCAATCAATGGACAGCTCGTCTTGTGTTAGCCTATCAGAGCGGACGTTAGCTCTCTGTTGCCGTGGTGACAGACTGATGGACGTCTTCCTCAGAGTCTCTGACCCACTGACCAGCTGCCACTGAAATAACAGCAACAGACCAACAGGACGCAAAGTCAAAAACCCAATGTCACAGGAAGCGTGTCTCATAACCCCTGAGTGAGTGTGTGTGTGTGTGTGTGTGTGTGTGTGTGTGTGTGTGTGTGTGTGTGTGTGTGTGTGTGTGTGTGTGTGTGTGTGTGTGTGTGTGTGTGTGTGTGTGTGTGTGTGTGTGTGTGTGTGTGTGTGTGTGTGTGTGTGTGTGTGTGTGTGTGTGTGTGTGTGTGGTGTGTGTGTGTGTGTGTGTGTGTGTGTGTGGTGTGTGTGTGTGTGTGTGTGTGTGGTGTGTGTGTGTGTGTGTGTGTGTGTGTGGTGTGTGTGTGTGTGTGTGTGTGTGTGTGTGTGTGTGTGTGTGTGTGTGTGTGTGTGTGTGTGTGTGTGTGTGTGTGTGTGTGTGTGTGTGTGTGTGTGTGTGTGTGTGTGTGTGAGGCAGGTTACAGCAGCTATCTGTGAGTGATTCAGAGTGTCTGACTCAGCGTTATGATACCGAAGAGATTAGATCTGACATCACCTTGATACAAACAGGGCTCTGTCTGTCCTTTGACGAGTGGCCTCACATCAGCAAACACTCATATCAATCATGTGATCATCTGCAATCAGTATGAATCATGTGATCATCTGCAATCAGTATGAATCATGTGATCATCTGCACTCAGTATGAATCATGTGATCATCTGCACTCAGTATGAATCATGTGATCATCTGCACTCAGTATGAATCATGTGGACTTTGTGGAAGTCCTGACCTCAGATCAGATAAAGCTCAAGTTGATTCAGAAGTCCATACTTAAGGAGTTTAATTTAATCAACTTAATATGTTATTAATTATAAAACACCACTGTATATATTGTATTACAATGGACACATGTCGACTTACTTTAACTAAAACATATTTGTATTTTATTTAGTACTTTATTTAATATTTTACTTTTTATTTTTATATAAAAATCTTTATTTTATTATTGCACATTTTACCTGGACTATTGACGTTTAAATACATATTTGTTGCTGTTTAATTTTATCATATTATTCTTATATTTACATAAATATCACATTTTATTTGATCTTTTAATATAAATATTTGTATTCAATTTCTTTGTTATTGTTTTTATTAGTACAAAAACAACAACAAAAACAAAACTCAATTTTCTTGGACTTTTTTAAACTTTTTAAGTCCTAATCAAAATGGTTTAAACACTGCCAGGGTCTTACACATTGTTCTTCAGCACGTCCATGACAACATTAAGAACCAACTTTAACTAAAAACTGCCATGAAATCTCGATTAGCGCTTCATGAAAGCAGACCTCCAAAACATAATGTGTGTTTCTATTCCGTGATCGGCTCGGCCATCGGTACCACCAAGTTCCATGGAAATGAAATGGGTCGTTGTTCTGTTTCCTGCTGATGAACCAACACACCAAACAGACAACAACCTCTTCCTCTGAGATAATAATCACCTCACAGTCGGATGAGTTTTTCATCTTAAATCCGGGAATAAGATCAGAGGCCTGCACTACGAAGCCGGATGTTCTCTGAGCTGACTTCAGGGTAAACTCTGGCTTTCCGGTCCTACGACGCTGGTTCTCTTTTTAGCGGGCTAGATCTCCATGGTAACTGATGCTGAGCGGCTAACCTCCTCGGGAGCAGGTTAGGTGGCAGGCTAAGATATCAACTCAGTGAAAGCACCGCCTGCTGACCAATCAGAGCTCACCGCCTGCTGACCAATCAGAGCTCCGTGTGCGGAGTTTTAAAGCGATCAAGTCATATTACAGGATAGAGGAAATACAGAAAAACTGCCGTTGCAGGAAAGACGGCCGGCAAAAATCACCTGACTGTGTGAACGTGAACATTAATAGAATATCCCCTCCTCCCATCTTCAGAGCAATCTGACTATTATAACATTAGCGTTAAGAAAGCTTACTTAAATATCTGCCACAACATAAGTAACCGGATCAGAGTAACATTACGTACAGTCCGCGGCACTGTGAGTGCAGACGTTGATGTGTCCCATTATCATTCATATCATATCACATCATAATGTATCATATAT